AAAAAAAAAAAAAAAAAGAAATGATGGTGTTGGGAACAGAAAGGCAGATATCACATGCTGTCAAGCATGGAGGATCTGAAAAAATGGACCTTGTGGAGCTAGAGAGCAGAACAGTAGTTACTAGGGTCTGGGAACGGGGCAGGGACAAAGATAGGTTGGTTAATGGGTACAAACACAGATAGAAGGAGTCAGTTCTAGTGTTCCACTGCACAGTAGGGTGACTGTAGTTAACACTTTATGATATATTTCAAAAAAGCTAGAAGATTTAAAATGTTCCTAACAAAGAAATGATCAATATTTGAGGTGATAGTTGTCTTAAATACCCTGATTTGATCACTACACATTGTATGCATGTATCAAAATATCACATGCACCCCATCAATATGTAGTTATGTGTCAATAAAAATATGTTAATGATGGTGTTAATTTGATCATCTGCATGGTATAGAGCAGATACATGCTTGTTTCTAGGGAAAATACAGAATGTATACTTCAATGTGATAAATTCTCAGTTATGAAAGTGTTACTGTCATCCTCTTATTTTGCAGATTTGTTTGGGTATAACTGGTATCTGAGGAAAAATTAAAACTAGGTTTCAGATGGTTTTACAGAAGTTAATCAAAAGCTGTTTATATGTTGTGTCAGAAATGTGCTGAATCGCAGTGGCTTTGCCACTGATAAGGTCGTGTGTGTATTTGTATGTGGGTGTGTATTACATGATCTACACAGATTTTCTTCAGTAGTTTATTCATAATTGTCATGTGCTGTGCACATAAACCCTGTTAGTTAGAGGCTAAAATGCGAGTACAACATTAACATGTCTTTTATTTTTCCATGTTTTACTCCCAGGTAATTTAGCCCAAGCTGAAGCAGTTGGAAGAGAGGCATTGGAATTAATACCTAATGATCACTCTCTCATGTTCTCGTTGGCAAACGTGCTGGGGAAATCCCAGAAATACAAGGTGCGTAAACCGCAGGCTGTGAGTTCTTGCAGTTAATGCCAGCATCTGACAGAAGCCGTAAGTGTTACTTCTGCCCAGTTAAATTAGGAATCAGGCCAAAACAGTGGCAGCGGTGCACCAATGCGGCTTGGCCAGTTTGTTTCCTGGAAAAGTTGCTTCAAAGACAGCAGTGTGGGGGCCAAACCCAGTGTCCTTTCTCATCAGAATTAACCACCGTTGTTCACACGTGGAGAGAGGAAGAGAAGCCCAAGGAAGGGGCAGGAGCAGGCAGGGAACTGTGGAATGGTTGGCCGCAGAGGCCGGGCAGGCTGGTGCGAGAGGAGGACTCGGGCAGCCACAGTGCATCCCCGGAGGTGCCCCGGTCCCGTCCCGGCACAGTGGGGTTTGACTCTGTCACTTGCACATGGGCTGGAGCTCTGGGTTTTATCTGCAGGTTCCAGCTTCTGCACAAAAGAATAAGCAACCCATGGAGGATGCATGATTGGTTCTTGCTGCTTCCAGGTTTTTCTTTATCTGAGTTTTACAGGCCACCAGCAAGGCCCAGAGTTTTCTGGCCAACAAAAACCACAAGATACTAAATCTTTGCTCCAGTTGGCAGCCAGGGTGGAGCAGGAATAGGCTGTGCATAACTCCCTGTGTGTTGAAGGGGACTGGTTGTAAACTTTAATTTTGTCTATCAGAATCACTGAGGGAGCTTGTTAAAGCAGAGATGCCCAGATTCTCCCTACAAGGGATTGGCTTCGTGGATTAGATCAGGTCAGGGAATATACATTTTTACCTAGCATCCTGGGTGTTGAACACAGATATCACAGAAGTAGTGCCTTAGTTGTTTCTTAAGATAAATACTTTATTCCAGAATCAGGGGCTATATCTTATTTTGATCACTCAGCCTATGTATAAGACCTAAAGGCAGCAACTAGCTATCATCGGTCCAGTGTTATTCACTTCTCTTTTTCTGTTTAATACATGTCGTTATTAGTATAATTTTCTATAACAATGGTGAGATAATTTCATGCATTTCTCTAGTTTTATAATGTTGGGGAGTTCAATAGCTTCATTATACATTTTTTAAATTTCTAGGTTTTGCTCTAGAAATAGCTTTTTGAAGAGGGTTTTTTATGAATCTACTTGTGTAGCAGGGGAAGGAGGTGAGGTTTACAGGTTTCCCTTCTAATGACCTTTCCAGCCATCTGTCAGCCTGGGACAGGTCCCAAGTCTCAGTTCTCCTCCAGTGACCCAGCTATAGCGAGTCTTCTTGAAGACTTGGCTTATATAATCGTATTGATTTTTCTATCATCACACAGTCTGTAAACTGCTGGAATTTCTATTAAGGGGACAGAACCCAGAGTTCGTTTGGCTTCCAGTTCACGTTGTTCTTCCCCCAACCCCCAAATAAACTAGAAAATACTCTGTAAAACAGAATGAAGAAATCAGCTTCCTCTTTCTCTACACATTTTGCATTTTAATTATCAAGGCCAAGGCGCTGGGCCTAACATAAGGAAACAGAAGGTGAAATCTGAAACACAGAACTCACGATGAGACCTTCAGGAGCTACCAAGTGGGGGGAACATGATGTGGCTTCCTGAGCCCTGGCATCAGCCACCAAGCAAGCATTCCATGTATTTTTTTTATTAAGGGTTTGAATTTTAAACAACTGTTTAGGTTTTCCTCTTGTAATGCAAAAATGATACCGGTTGCTAATGGTCAGCTGCATCCCTGGCACTGCTTGTTTCAGGATGGAGTGAAAGGGTCTGTTTCCTTGCAGAGCACTGGGCAGGATGTTCCAGAGAAGAGGGGATATGGTGGTGAGTTGCAGGGCTGGGTGAACAGACCCTTCAGCCCAGCTATCTTGATGGCAGGGCAGGTGTCTGCTGCCCGACAACTCACTTTTTACCCAAGCGCGTGTGTTTTATTTTTCATGCACTTGGTAAATCTCCTCAGAGAGCCTGGAGGCTTGAGGTTGGAGCTAAGCCTTCAGTCCCAGTTCTGTATCTCCATTGCTGTCAGGCAGTTACAAAGCACCCGGTTAAGTAATTATAAAATGATCGCATGCATCTCTCATTTGACCCTGCAATGTTCAGGCTTCCAGAACCTATTTTGAGGTGTTGATAGGCAGAGGGAGTGTTCTCGTTATATCTGCGTGGCTCTAAGCACCTTTTTATCCTATCTAAGCAGCCCTTTTTAAAACCTAACAGCAGTCGGCCTCTCTGGGCCTCAGTTTGTTCATCTATAAAATGGAGATAGTGATCTGCCCAACCTCTTGACAAGGTAATACAAAAAAATGCACAACAACATAATTTGCAACTATCAAATGGTTAATGTGTATATGCATATATATATATGTATGTATAGTGAGCATTCAATCATTCAGTGGATCTCTAGGGATCATTAAAATGTATTAAAACAGGCACCTGTAGTCCCAGCTACTCGGGAGGCTGAGGCAGGAGAATGGCGTGAACCTGGGAGGCGGAGTTTGCAGTGAGCAGAGATCGCGCCACTGCACTCCAACCTGGGCGACAGAGCAAGACTCCGTCTCAAAAAAAAAAATGTATTAAAATTTATGTTACTTCTTGCCATTTAATTTCCAATTTCAAGCTAATGTGGTAAAGCAAAAATAGAAAAGTAATGTTTTTCAGTGCTTAAATCATTGCTTCTCGTACTGATTTCTTTTTTTGTAGTGCTAATTCCAATGGCCCGGTAGCTTAAGTGCAGGTTATGTTGATAAAGTCAGTTTCCTAAGCTCCAGACATTTATGTCATACCTTTATGATTTTTTTTTTCTTGCCACATCTAGATGTTACCTTATTTACTTGACATTTTTATTTAAATAGATTTTTAACACGAATATATTTAAACGAGAAACAATGCATCATTACTATAAATATAGGGTAACTGAAAGTTAAATAATCATACTAAATCCCAGCTAGATGCTATTGCTGGCCAAGGCTCTGAGCTCTCTTAGCTTCAAGGAGAGATTGGCAGGTGTGTTGAGGGTAGGGCCCACACACCACCACCAAGCGCAGACTTGAGCCTGATGCAATCAGAAGGAAGGAGGGAGAATAGAGAATAACTCTCTTCCTGTGTGAGTCACGATTTCAACTTCACATCAGATCACCCATGTTACCCGTCCTATTCTAGCAGAGGCACAGTGGCCCCTGTGTCCCAGAGTATTCTTGGGTGGCTGCTGTGGCTGAAATGACCTCCACCCACCCGGGCTTCCTCACCTAGACGTAGAGACTAGCGCTTGTTCCTACCTAGAGACACAATTTGCAAGGCTTTCTCAAGTCCTACGCCTTTGTTAATTACATTTTGTCTAATATGCTTTAGAAAATAATATATTATTTTTCCCCTTTCTGTTGAAAAAAATATCCCCAACTCTAAATGTGAGTTTATTGGTTCATTGGCATAAATCGGCTCATTGCCTGGGTCTTTACACATCCAGAGACCTCCACAGAAGATCAATTTATAAACAGTTCACTGCTTTCCTGAATGAGGCCATTAGAAGCCCTGATTTAATAGATGAACGTTTCATGGGCTTTGAATACTCACAGATGCTGCGTTCTAAAGAGGCCCATCCAACCCCACTCCCAGGCCCAGGTACAGGCCCAGGGGCTGCCCCCATGACTTGGATAGAGCCAGACTGGCCCACCCGCACCTCCTCTCAAACCAGCCCTTCCTCCTGACACCCCTTCTTTTGTCCACATGCTGTCATGTTTCTGTTGCCCTGGCTTGGAAATTTTGACTCATTTTTCCTCCCTTGTCCCCCTGGCCCAGTGCTCTCTGCCTATTCTTCCTCATCCCTGTTCCTTCACACCGGCCTCCTCCTCACCCTGCAAAGTTTGGGCCCAGCCCTGCTGAGAGCAGTAGCCCTCTAACAAGTTGTCAGATCTGAGCCCTTCCCTGTCTTCAGCACCACTGTGTCCCCCAAACTGCTGACTCCTCAATGTCCTGAATGATGTTCGTCGTCACAGGCATCTGAGAACTTAGCTGAATAAATAAATGAATTTAGCAACACTAGAAAACTCCTCACTTTTTGTCCCTAAGCCATTTCTCTCCAGTTAACACTACTTCATTTACAGGTAGGGAAGCATTTTTGAGTAGATTTGGTTCCCTGACCTTCCTATGTCTCAAGTTTTAGGTTTTAAATGGAAATGTTTGAAAATCATCAGAAACAGCCCAGCAACTCAGAAACCCCTGCAAAGCTACACAACCCATTTGACTTTCTTTCTGCAGCCTTCCTGATATGGCCAGAGTCTTAACCCTCTTGGAAGGAGTTTCAGCCCCTGAAACTTGGAATGTAGACACTGACTTTGAACTGACATCCCATATGTTATCCTGATGTCTTTCTTAAGTCCCTCTTGGATGACATTTTTAAAATATAAATATTTCTCTGCCAGCTCTGTCCAAAAGGTCATGGTTTTGGAGGTGGTTCCCCCACATTTCCCAGCCGATTTATCAGGGGTACCACAGGCTGTAACAAAGGAACTGCACATTATAAAATGCACAGTCCCAGATGTGGGAAGCCCACCTGGAAAAATTCATGTATGACCCAGGTAGAAGGCACTAGAACTATCCCCACACCAACAAATTTGATTGGTTAAGCTCAGTGTGTGATACCGATTTTTTTTTTTTAAGGCAGTGTCTTGCTCTCTTGCCCAGGCTGGAGTGCAGTGGTGCAGTCTCAGCTCACTGCAACCTCCACCTCTTGGGTTGGAGCAATTCTCCTGCCTCAGCCTCCCAAGTAGCTGGGACTACAGGCACGCACCACCACACCTGGCTAATTTTTGTATTTTTAGTGGAGACGGGTTTTCACCATGTTGGCCAGGCTGGTCTCGAACTCCTGACTTCAAGTGATCTGCCTATCTTGGCCTCCCAAAGTGTTGGAATTACAGGCATGAGCCACCATGCCCAGCATGTGATACTGATTAAAACATGCTGCCCTTAAGGAATGTGAAGGTGAATGGAGTGAACAGCACCCCCAGGGCACATGTCAGTAAAAACAGGTTAGGTGTCTTTATTTCTCAGCATTATGGTAGAAGGGGCCATCCAGCCAGCAGTTCTCAGCAGTGATCAGGGTAGGAAGACACTTTGCCCTGCCTCTTAGTGGCCAGGCTGGAAGTGAGGATGACTTGGAAGAAATGCAAGGTTGTACAAGAATCAGTTCACCCCCATCAGGGGCATTTGGTCATGGTCATGTCCGGTACTGTGACAATGTAGTTGACAGGTGGCCATTCCTTTCTCTTTTCTGCTCATCCTTTCCAGATGGACGGGGCTGCTTCTGGGCTGCCCAGAGTGTTGTAGGTTCTTGGGGGAGAGGAAATGGGCCTCAACTCCTACCCCGGGAGCTCTGGAAATGGCATTGGCATGGGTGTGCTCCACGGCTCAGCCCTCTCCTGTTCCCTGGGCCTCCTGTCTTCATCACGCACCCTGACCTGGGCGACTTGCATAACGTTGCGGAAGTCCAACCACTGCAGGGAGGCAGGTGGTGGCACTCACGAACATGTTCGTCCCCTCTCTGCGGCCACTGCTCCCTCCCGCTGCCCCTTGTCAGCCTCTCTCTGGCAGAGCATGGCCCCCCTGGGCCTTCTGAGTGTTTCTAGAGGAATGCAGTGATGCAAAAGGAGGTGGTTAAAAGTTTGAAAACCATAGGTGATAAAACTGGGAACTGCTTTTGCTTCGTGTACAATAAATATCTTCCTTTTTATATTTCTCATTTTTTAGGAATCTGAAGCTTTATTCCTCAAGGCAATTAAAGCAAATCCAAATGCTGCAAGTTACCATGGTAATTTGGGTAAGAAAAATGTTCAACTTGAATCGTGTTGAAATTCTGTTACTTTAATGAAGTGGGTGCATGTCTATAAAATTGATGTTGGGAGAGTAGTTTTTTCAAAGCTAACCTGGCTTTACAGTGTGATTCTGTTATTACATTAAAGCTAGCAAAGTGATAGCCACACTTCCAAATCTTAATTGCATGACCAGAACGGCCCTAAAGTTGCCCACTCTGTTTATCACCTTCTCATGATGAAACTCAGATTGTCCTTCTTTGTGTTAAGCTGAGAAGGGTGAGATCGGATCAAGAGAATGAGGCTATGGTTACGAAGGGTTATCCTAGTAAATGAATCGTATGTTCTTTGGAAGCTTGCCATTGAACTTACCTCCTTTTCCTTCCTTCTTACAGAGTAGACCTTCCCCTTCCAGCCTGGTCTTCTGCTTTCTTATATCCTCTTATGCCTTGGCTAAAATGCATTTATAATCATTTATTCCCTAGAATTCATTTCTTGCACCCTTTTGTGTCTCCATGGTTAAGATGTTTAAAGCATAGCATGGTGATGTTTAGAATGCCCACAGAAATGTTTTTGGACCAAAGCTGTTCTCTACCAACTCTGAAGCTTCTCTTCACAAAAGCCAACAAGCATCCACAGGTGCTCTTCTGCCCATATAGAAAGTTAGTTTTACTAACAAAATCACTGCCATGATCAGAGGCTAATCATCCTAATGATTAGGTTTATTGTAACTATCATTTTGATATTAGAGGCCTTATTTCCAAATGGCCCCACACAAGCTTTTACTTCCCCAAATGGTGTGGGGAAATATCTATTTAAAATAAACAGCTGAACCTTCTGCATAGTCAAGGCTCGAGGCAGCGCCTGGCATCCGTCACCCCCACCTCCCATACCCAGCCTTGCTTCCTGGAAATTTCATGGCAGCACTGAGACATTGCATGTAGTCTTCTTACTTCTTTATGTAATAATGTTCCTATAGGCAGATGTATCCTGTCTAGTTCTATGAAGAGCCCTAGGAGTAACTGGCAGTAAATGGATAATCATCAGGGAGTGTGATTACAATAAATAAAGTTTTCAGTACAAACAATATTGTTTCATACAATTGACTTTTGAAAGCTGTTTGCATAGGATCGGTAATATTTCTTTGTCCAAGAGGGTAGGAATTCGGCACGTTACTCAGAAGCGTTCCCAGTGAAATTTATCTCCTGCTATTTCAGCTGTGCTTTATCATCGCTGGGGACATCTAGACTTGGCCAAGAAACACTATGAAATCTCCTTGCAACTTGACCCCACGGCATCAGGAACTAAGGAGAACTATGGTCTGCTAAGAAGAAAGCTAGAACTAATGCAAAAGAAAGACGTCTGATCCTTTTTCCTTCATGTTTTCAGTTTGAGTGTGTGTGTGCATGAGGCATATCATTAATAGTATGTGGTTACATTTAACCATTTAAAAGTCTTAGACATGTTATTTTATTGATTTTTTCTATGAAAACAAAGACATGCAAAAAGATTATAGCACCAGCAATATACTCTTGAATGCTTGATATGATTTTTCATTGAAATTGTATTTTTTCAGACAACTCAAATGTAATTCTAAAATTCCAAAATTGTCTTTTTTAATTAAACAGAAAAAGAGAAAAAATTATCTTGAGCAACTTTTAGTAGAACTGAACTTTCATTTGGGATCTGAGCCTTGTCGTGTGTGGACTAGCACTATTAAACTTCAATTATGACCAAGAAAGGATAGACTGACCCCTACAATTTGTATAAATATTGAACGTGTCTATATATTAGCATTTTTATTTAATGACAAAGCAAATTAAGATTCTTGTTTTTTTATCTCTTTTTTTAAAACAATATACTGTGAACTTTGTAAGGAAATATTTATTTGTATTTTTATGTTTTGAATAGGGCAAATCGAATGAGGAATGGAAATTGTAACATGTAGTATATCTAGATCTATATGCTTTTCCCCATAGGAAGAAATTGACTTCTGCAGTAGTTTTTGGATGCTCTGACTTGTGCAATTTCAATACATAGGAGGTTATGTAATGTAATATTTTACATAAACAGTTACTATCAGTTGAAAGTTCAGGCCATACTTTAGGCAAAAGCAGGCAGCCTCACATCTTTATTTTTGTTACATCCAAGGTGAAGAGGGCAACACATCTGTGTAAGTTGCTTTTTAGTGTTTTTAACTGAAAAGCCGTTTTCCATTTTGCTTAATGAAACTACAGACATTATCCAGAAAATGCAAAATTTTCTCTCAAATGGAGCCACATTCGGGGAATTTGTGGTATTTTTAAGAATGGAGTTGTTCCTGCTGTTATTTGATCCAAACAATGTTTTGTTTTGTTCTTCTCTGTATGCTGTTGACCTAATGATTTATGCAATCTCTGTAATTTCTTATGCAGTAAAATTATTACACAAACTAGCATGAAAATGTCAAATTGCTTTCTTAATCGATGATTTTCAAGTAGTGAACTTTATATCCTCCTTTACCTTAAAATGAAATCAAAGTGACCATATCATCTTTTATGTGGCTTCTATTTGACGTGGGGACCATTTCATAGAATTGCACTACAGTGTTTTCCAAGTTCAGAGAACAGAGTGAATAGATCCACACTGAGAGGAATTTGATTCTCTGGACTCACTTTTTGGGGGCAGATCTGTGTAGTGTTTAAGTCAGTAATTGTAACTTCTGGTGGTTGAAATAGATCAAGAAATAAAGTGCTGTGTGTAAAATTTTTCTTTTTTTTTTCTTTTTTTTTTTTTGAGATGGAGTCTTACTCTGTCACCAGGCTGGAGTGCAGTGGCACCATCTCAGCTCACTGCAGCCTCCGCCTCCCAGGTTCAAGCGATTCTCCTGCCTCAGCTTCCTGAGTAGCTGGGATTACAGGCGTGCACCAACACGCCTGGCTAATTTTTGTATTTTTAGTAGACATGGGGTTTCACCACATTGGCCAGGCTGGTCTGGAACTCATGACCTCAAGTGATCCATCCACCTCATCTTCCCAAAGTGCTGGGATTACAGGCGTGAGCCACCACACCTGGCCTTCAAATATTTCTTAAATGGTCCCAAAACAACAGTAATAATTTATAGCTCTCTTCAGTGGCTAAGACCATCTTCCTCTTATTTATGTTCCTATAGTGCTTCACTTGTCCTACGATAGATGCACTATATGCTTTGTTGATTTTTTTTAAAGCAAACTTCTTTTTTTGAAACAGTACTTGTCTATTGAGAGTAATCAAAAAATGATGTTTCTTACAAAAGCCCCTTCAGGATCCTCTTTTTTTTCCTACCGATTCTAAAACTAGTGCCAAATCAAGTTATGCAAACCTGGACCCCTGCCTACCGACAAATTCCCTTAGCTTTCACTGCTTCAGCTTCCAGCATTTCCATCGTAGCTGATTTCTTTCCAGAGAACACAGTGATTGATTTGATTGATATTTCAGGAAGTCTTTGGTCTGTGCAGATTTTGGAAGCATACCACACTGGCTCCCTTTTCTTCTTTTTCCATCTTAAGGCAGCCACCCTCTTTGTTTCTTGGCTTTCCTTTCCAATGAGACTGAAGTGGAAGGCCGCCTCGCAGTTCTTCTCTTACTTGGAGTCTTTTACTCTTTCAATGTTTTTATCACTAATGACAGTTGGGAGGCAGGTGTCAAAACAAACATGGGGAAGTCAGAAGTTTGAGAAACTTCATCATCCTTCTCTTCCTCGATAGCAAACATCAGCAAACCTGGAAAGAGGCTTGGAGCCGGGTGTTAGTTTGTTGGTTGGTTTAACATATGTAGCACATGTGAAGATGCAGCACTTCTTCCCTGTTCTTGTTTGGATTTTTAAAAATTTAAACGCAGGCTTACATTTGTTTCTCTCCCAAGTTCATCCTGTCAGGCATAGCCTACAGGCCTTGACAGGGCCCCTTGAGGTTCTCATCCTGTCACATTGCTTACAGATGTTCTTTCTCTCTTTTTTTTTTTTTTTTTTTTTTTGGGACAGGGTCTCACTCTGTCACCCAGGTTGTAGTGCAGTGGTGCGATCTTGGCTCACTGCAACCTCTGCCTCCCGGGTTCAAGTGATTCTCCCACCTCAGCCTCCTGAGTAGCTGGGACTACAGGCACGTACCACCATGCCTGGATAATTTTTATATTTTTTGTAGAGACAGGGTTTTGCCACGTTGCCCAGGCTGGTCTTGCATTCCTGGGCTCAAGTGACCCGCCTGCCCTGGTCTCACAAAGTGCTGGGATTACAGGCATGAGCCAATGTGCCCGGCCATTCTTCACAGTTTATTTCAAATTACTGACAAAATATTGGAACAGAAGACTGAGGCCTCCACCAAAACACTAGACATCTATGTCCATATTCACACCCAACCTGCCTGGACTTTGGGGTGGGAAAACCCAGACTTGGACCTTGGTGTCTCCCCCTGCAGTATCATAGGTAAGGCATTGAGCATTGCTCAGGCCCCAGTTTCCGATCTGTACAGTGGGGATAAGAAGATCTCTCATAGCCATAACTTAGAGAGCCCAGTACACCCTCCATAAGTGATAGGCTGGACTTTTGAAAGAGGAGGTCGGTTGGGAGCACACAGATCTGGCCTTAGATACCTTTATTCCCCATTCACTCAACACATACTAAGTGCTATGTACCAGATACTTTCTTAGGCTGTCTAAATACTAAAGTGGGTGGAAGAGGACACCAGTGGACAGTCCAGTGAGAAAACAATGATCAAAGGGTCGCATGAATAGTAGCTGAGGAGGGAGGCCTGCTCTAACCTGGAGAGTCAGGAAAGGGCGCCCTGGGAAGGTGGCTTCTGGATGGAGATTGATAGGCAGAGAAGGGGAAGGTCACTCCAGGCTGGCTGTTCTCAACCAGGGAATTTCTTGCCCTTTGGGGCAGGGAGGCATTCAGCAAGGCCTGGGGATATTTTTGATTGTTAAAACTGATTGGAAAGTGATGAGGGAGAGAGAAGCTGCTGCTGTACATGGAATATGCACAGGACAACCCCCCACAAAAATCACCTGGCCTAAAACATCAGTAGTCCCAAGGTTGAGAAAACCTGGACCACACAGAAGCAACAGCATCTGCACAGGCCCTGCTGTGGGAAAGCTGAAGTCTGAGGAGGCCAGGGAGGGTGCTTGAGAAGGCTGGCCTTGGTGATGAGCCAGCTCATACAGGGTTCACAGACCACGTGGTGCTTACTTTAAACTGGGGGAGAATCCAAAGCAGGTCAGTGACATGATCCAAGTTAGTGAGGTTTTGACAAGGTCACTTGGCTGCTGGTGGGAAGAGAATTGGAGAGAGGCTAAGAGGACATAAGCAGAGAAGCCAAGAGACCATCCCAGGTGTCAGCGTCGAAATGAAGGTGGCTCTGTGCAGCCAAGTGGCAGAGGAGCTTTGGATGCCTTTGCTGAGGCATCCCAGGATTCCTCTGGCCTCAGTCTTCTCTCCTTGCAGCGAGCCAATAAATCTGACTTCAACCGACTATAGTTTTGCACCTGGTGGTCTTTGACTGGGCTCAGACAGGCCACGTGCCTATCAAAGCAGAAGAAATTCTCCCTGGTCTTTACTATTTCATGCAAGAATACGGATCAAATGGATCATGTGTGTGAAAGAGCTTCATTGAAAGAACTACATACATAGGATTATTTACTGGAACTAATAATTTTAACAAAGAGGTTCAAACATAAATGATGAGTCCTAATAATATACATTTCAAGGTATATTACCCAGCTTCCCCATTTAAACCTCATGTTAAGAGCATGGGTTTCTGGCTCAGCTGCGTGTGAGTTCAAGCCGTTGCACTCTCATTTACTGGCAGTGTACCTTTGAGTGAGTTATTTTACCTCTCAGAGCCATTTCACAGATAGAATGGGGATAATAATATCTGGTTCATACTATTCTTCAAAGGATGACACAAGAAGCATCATGAAGTTCCTGGCATATGAGGCCCACTCAGTATGCATTCATTCCCTTCACTGACCACTCAAAGGGAACCAAGCTACATTTCATTGTGTAATGTTTACATTTCTAGACACCAGATTAGCGTTATTTCCTTTTAAAAGTTACTGTTTGGATAGCAGGGCCCAATGACTTGATTGGCAGCAAGGTGATAGGGTTAGAGATGGCTGTGGCCTGCCTACAGCTCTTTCAATGTCATTAGCTTTGAGCATGGTGGATAGTATACTTGGCTGGTCAGATTACTTCTGAGAATTCTTAGTTATTCTCCTATTCATGATGAGGGATTTATTCAACAAAGCTGAGGAAATAATCTCATAGTGCTTTGCTCCGGCCTTTGCTTGTTTCTGAAATTACAGAAGATGGCAAGAATAGCATAAACCATCTCAACTTCAATTTCTTGGAAAATTTCATATACTTTTTAAAAAAGATACTGCATATCTTTTGTGGAGAAAAGGTCAATGTCTTATTCACAAAAACCTGACAGCAACTCGCATCATCTTTAAAACATTAATTCTAGAAATACTGGGATTGAATTTAATGTGAGTGAACTTAGCTTCGTGAGGTTGGTTTTCTCTGCTCGTTAATTTGTCATGGGTTTAAATTGTTAGGCAGTGAGACCTGTTGTAACAAGTAAAATAATCACACAGAAAGAATAATCCTGCTGTTTACAAATTTAACAACTTTTTAGAGCCAGGTTTAGAAGTGGAAGTAAAGAATCCAATGGTTTGCAAAATATACACTATTTGCTGTCTTTTGCACACACATTTTCTGAATTAGCCTAATAATCCTATGTTGAAACTGGAAAGTCTTCTTATTAAGTTCATACTGATTTGCAAAGGGAAGTGATCAGAAAGTAAACCTCATGGCATGAGGTCCTTGAAACATACACACAAAGCATTAAGGTCTGTGCTCGTGAAACTGGGTTCAGTAGGAAGATAGTTACAGAAAGGAGAGGAAGGTGTTGAAACAGACGCAAGAGCAAGAAACACAGTTTGCAGGGTGGGCAAACTTTCTGTAAAAGGGAAGAAGTTAAGTATTTTAGGCTTTACAGGCCATATGGTCTCAGCGGCAGTTACTCAGTGCTGCCGCTGTCCTGTGAAAGCAGTCACAGACAGTGTCAACAAACCAAATTTTATATACAGACACTGAAACTTAAATCTCATGAACTATTATGATTCTTTTGTTTCCAAAATGTAAAGTGTTTAAAATGTAATTTAAAATTAAAATTAAGTATTTAAAAATGTAAAACTCATTATTTGAAGGCCACAGACAACCAGGTTGGATTTAGTCTGCAGGCTATTTAGGCCCAAAGATGACTATTGAATGGTTTACTGGAATAATTTGGTAATACTTCAGCAGATTTTACGGTGTTATTCCGTTGGACTTCAAGCCTCTTATATAGCACCTCCTTTCGGTTGTTTATTTCACATTATAACTAGAGTTTCAAGAGACGCAGGGGATATCTTCCCCTCTATTGAGTGGTACTTGCAATGCTGGAGACATGCAGGAGAGGTAACACCCAGAGGAGGTTGACCTCATTTACATAATATTAAGTGGCAATGTATTTAAAT